GAACTGGACACAGTACTCCAGTTGTGGCCTCACCAGTACAGAGTAGAGGGGGAGAATGAGTTCCCTCGACCTACTAGCCACGCTCTTCCCTATGCAGCCCAGGATTCCATTGGCCTTCCTGGCCACAAGAGCACACTGCTTGCTCATTGTCATTTTGCTGTCTACCAGGACCCCCAGATCTTTCTCTTCAGAACTCGTCTCCAGCAGATCCACGCCTAACCTGTATTGGTGCCGCACTTTTCCATGCTCCTTTTTGTAATTTGCAGTAAAGCGCCTAGAGAGAACAGCATTACCTCTCTATTTTGTCTTCTCCCCCAAAACTGACCGCTTCCCCTCTCATCCCAACTGCTGCTGCAGTACTTGCAGCCACTGCCTCTCCTCCCTGGGCCACCTCCACTTCCCATTCACTGCCTGCTGTCATTTCTTCCAGCTCCACCCAGGCCTTGCCTTGGAGAAGAATAACTATGCTCACTCTGTCTCTCTAGCCTGTCCCAGAAATTGGAACAACTGGGCTTTTTTGTCAAAACCAGCTGAGCTGCATGATCTGCAGGCAAACAGCATTCTGGAGGAGGTTTTTTTAAAGGTATAAATGATGGGTAGGTGTCTAGCTTCTCACTGGAGATTATCACTAGAAGTTAGGTATCATGAATTTCTCCTACTTCTAGCCATTGCTCACACTGAAGCTGAACACATACACATTAAAAAAGAAATCAGTTAAAGGATGGCTTCAGAGCTGCAAAGGCAAGGCTGCTGTGTTCTGGGAGGTAATGTGCAACTTGCCTGTAATTGCCCCCTCACCTAAATTCTGCAGTAGAGGGAATTACTTATGTGCATGAGCAGGATAAGGAAACATTTACTCCGACATTCCACATAGCTTCTTGTCTCTGGAGCTCTGGCACTTGTTCCTCCAGCCTCAGTTCCCTTCTCTGTAGAAGGCTCTCAAGGGACTCTCCACTGTTTTTGTGTGGATTACCTGTGTGTGGGGTAATCAAGTGTGCACAGCATGCATACACACATGTACTCATACACACGTGGGCATGACATTTCCAAGTCGGCGAATGCCAGAACTCTGGTTACCCCTGGTATCTTCGCTTAGTCCCCTTGTGAATGTTTTTCTGCTGGAGCCTTTAATTAAATACGCTTCTGTTATTTTCCCCCTCTTTCATCCCTGCCTTATTTCGTGCACAGAACGGGCTGTGCTCAATTACTGAGCAGCAACTTAATATTTAGTTTTCTCCTTACTGCTCAGTGTGTGGCCCCTAGCCTTATTTACTGCACAATATTCAAGCCCTGCTCTGATGACAAAATGGTTGATTTCCTCATGGGCTTTTCTGTGTCCTCATCATTGTATGTGTATCTGTGGCTACGCAAGTGATTTATGGTGGAACTTGTTCCGGTACTTGTCCCCAGCCTCCTGATGGTGCCCGATTACTGCTTTCATTCTTGGGATGGTTTTAGAGTGGAAAAATATGCCAGGGAAAGCTGCGTAACTTGCTGTGAAGGGAGGTAGCTACTTTATTTAGTTCATTTGCAGCTAGTGCATGTTCTGTTTTGCTATAAAAGCTGTGGGTGAGAGCAAAGGGGAAGGCTGTTTTATTCTGCCTGCATTAGTTTTGAAGAGAGGGGAAAACAGCCACTTCTCAGAAGGCTATGGGGAGGGCAGAAGAGCTTTTACTGAGGGCGGCGTGGGGCATCCTGTTCTCCCTGACACACACAGCCCCAAACATGGAGCAGAGCTCATGGGGAATCTCCTGAGCACAGAACTGGGCCATGACATCCCCACATGGCCCTCACAGAGGATCTCCTGGGAGCTGGTGGGAACAGTGCAGGGCTTGAAGCTGGGATGAGCAGAGAGCACTGAAAACTGTTCGACTGAGAGAAGGACTGGGAGTTCCTTCGCATGTGAACACAGCAGCTAGGAAGGTGCAGTGGGGAAGGAGTGGAGGGGACCAGGCTTTTTATTTTTCTGTTCTAGGGTCGGTGTTGTCTCTGTTTTGAGTGGCCTGGATTCACATCTGTGCAGATCCTCACCCCTTTGGCAGGCTTAGGCTGCTCGCATTAAGGAAAAGGTGTGAGAAGACCACCTCAAAGCGCTGGCCAGCTTGGGACCCAGTTGCACCCAAAATGCAACCAGCTTGGCAGCAGTTGGATTTCTTTGGCCACATCTGCCTGTGTCGTACGCTGTTAAATCCTAGTGGTAGTCCTGGCTCTGGGGCTCTGTAGAAAGCTTTTGGCTCTTGCTGATTGCTGTGCTAACTCTTGAGTGGTTTGGGAAGGTAGGCTCCTTGTGGTGCTGGCATTTTCCCCTGAGGAGAGAGGGAGTACATTTGGTTCCTGTGGGGCTGTGACAGCAACCACTGTCTATAAGGAAGACCTGAGACATTGTATGGTGTTGGACTTGTGTGACTAATAAGGATAGTGTTTGCTGGGCTGAGGATGAAGAAGAATAATCCCCCTTTCCCTGAAAGTCAGCAAGGTGTTTAAAGGTATTGATGGCTGGATGGGACTGAGGCTGTGTAAGTATTTAGCATAAGCCTCTAGCAGGCAGAGGAGAGGGTCTCTGAGGCAGTGTTGGACTGTTACAAGTGTGGGGCTTATGTGTGAAGATGGATGAAAACAGTGAGGAAGCTGTCAGGTGCCAACTGAAGGAGGAGAAGAAATGTTTTCCCATCAATCATGTTTTATTGAGGTTCTCCTTTACATAACCTTAGGAGAACTTTGTTTTGTGCTTTAAAGGCCAGCAGGGGTATCCAAACCAAAAGATAGCTGGCCTGACCAGAGTTTTCCAGAGCAGGTGACTAGACAAAGAGGTGCTCTCAGCTTCCTGAAGCATGGGGGACATGCTTTAACAGCCATCATTTAAAACACAGGGAAAAATATCTACATGAATGATGTCTCAATTCCACCACTGTGGGAAAAAAATAAATCCTTCCTCATTGCCCCAGTCACAGTCGTGTGAGGCCCAGGCTTGGCAGGAACCATGGTTCAGTCTCCTCTGAATTGCCAGCTCTCTAAACAAACTGTATGTTATTGAAACGGAAGAATCTGTTTTCCACTGGGACTTAAAGTAATTTGTATTGAGCCCTGGGAGTTTCCGAGCTACCAGATTTTGAAATTGCCTTTGTTAAAACAGGAAAGTGATTCTAGGGCATGGAGATTTGGAGTCAGTTGTCTGGATCCGCTCATCATGGGAGCGAAGGGGAGATTGGCAACTTGTTTCAATACCTGGACATCAACGTTTATTGAGGTAGGGACAGAGATGCCAGTAGCCTTCCCCTTCATCACCCGCGTGAGCAAAGGGCAGCTGTGTTCTGTGTGCCCCCTCATCTTTCTGAAGGTTGACTCCAGCCTTGAGTACCAAAAGTCTGCAGCAACGCGCTCTGGCCTTGCAGGGAGAAAGCTGGGGGGAGATGGGCTTGCAAGAGAGACTTATAAAGTCATGTCACACTAGAAAACCAGTGTTTGCTTTCGTTTCCTGAACAGCACATAACTAACTCCAGGAGGCAGAAAGTATGGAGCAACAGGACAGGTTCTCTTGAAGTGACCGTGGGATGGCCTGCAGGGAGCAAGGCTAAATTGAAGCTAAGGAATGCCGTATGGGCAGCAATTTTAGAAAGATATTTAATTTTTTTTTCAAAAGAGGGCAGCTTGGAAGCTGTGGCTTGTTCTGAACCAGGGCTTAAGCACTCTGATGGGCAGTGATGGGGTTAAAAGGGGCTGACCCAGGTGGAGGATATTTCACATTCTAGCCTTGGATATGAGTCTGATTTCTGTGATAAGAACCATCTATAATGTAAAGCTGAAAAGATAGTATGAAGATGAAACTGTTGGAAATAAAAGAAGTCTGGCCAAAATTTTCATTTACATGGGCTATGTAAACCTCTCTCTCAAGCTGTAGTTACTGATCTATTTTTACTTTCTTTGCTTCCCAGAGGCAAAAGTAATAACTCCATGCCAAAAAGGCTAATTTTCCCAGCATTTACCAAAACCAGCGTGAATTCCTCAATGGCCAATGTCACAGAAGTTGCTTGTCGAAAAATGTAGAGTTTTATAAGCATTGACGTTGTGGACAGAAAGAGGCCAACTAAACTTCAGTCCCTAGGTAAGATTGGATCTTTATCCACACTTGATATCTCATTATTGTGATCCAGGTTCCTCTCTGCTTGATGTCTTTCCAAGATTCCCCTGTATTTGTTTTATCCTTGACAGGCTAGTGAACATCTACCAGCACTTGTATCAAAAGGTTTGGAAAGGGAACAGCTGAACTTAATCTTCAGATAAATGCAGCATACCGTGACCACAGATAAATGGTCTCTCCCGTGAACAGAAAAGCCATGCCTGTAGCTCTGAAAAGCTTTCGATTTGGGTTTCTCCCTAGGGAATAGTGAGGATCGTGTTGTTGTGGTTGTGATCCTGTATAGTGTGGTGAGCTGGGCTGCGGACACTCTCAGGTATGTACCTGTAGCTTGGCTACCCAGAGGATTTTGTGGCTTGGGACAGGAATGCCCTGTCGGGTGGTACGCTGCTGTGGCTTAGTATCTTGAGCCTTCCCCAAATTAGCCAAAAGAGAAGAAATGAACTGCATATTCCACCCCTGATGCAGTACAAGTATACAAACAAATGTATCCATCTCTGCTGGGCCACATTCACATACATGTGTTGGTTCCTCAGTGCCAGCTCCTGCTATGAACTCTAGTTCTGCAGGCTGTTAGAAATGGCAGAATGAGATAGATATCTGTATCTCTACACACGCACATGCTTTTTTTTTTTTTTTTT